GGTCACAACCACCCCTCAACCGAAGGGGTGGAGCCACATGGGAAGCCAAGAGACGGCCCAAGGGGAACCGACACTCACAGACACAAGCACCGAGCTCGGACTGCCAGCAGCAGAACCCCTCTCAACAGGCCCTGGACAAGCCCAAATATAAACCATCCACAGAACAGAACCAGAAAGCTACATCTGAATCAGCAGAGATCATGAGACTTTTAAAGGAACTCTTCCAAGAAAAGCACCATAAGGGAGGGAAAAGGGATGAGTCAGATCAGTTATGACTAAGCACTAGCTCTGACCCCAATGCCCACTCAGAGTCCCCTCAAAATGAACTTACCAACCAGATCACTGTTAATCCACTGTTAACCACAGAACCAGATATCCCATCACCAAGTGGTGACATCACTCAACCACCTCAGCTGACTGTGGAACCACCAGAACCAGCCAACATCCCGCAACACACCTCCAGCCAGGACCGCAACATACCAGAAAGTGCAGTTTTGGTGGTCTGCCTCCCTGTCGAGCCACACAAGACCAGCTCTGACTGCTTGCCAATCACCACACAAGCCCCAGTGCCGAGACTCCTAGGGAACCTAATCGAAAGTGGGGTGGCAAAAAAACTCTACCTGGCCATCACATTAGAAAATGAGGTGAGACTGGATGCCCTAGTGGACACTGGAGCTGACCTCACTTTATTGTCAAGCCAACTTTTTGACAGACTTCAAAGTAAAGTCAAGAGACAGAATTGAACTCTTAACTATCAGAGGTGTGTGCTTAATGTGCAATCCTACAGCCAAAATGAGGTCCAACTTGAACAGGTAGCTCCCATTCACCTGGCCATCGGCCCTATGATCTTTGTGCACCCTGTGTACATTTCTCCATTGGACACATATCCTCTCCTCATTGGCAAAGACCTGCTAGATCGCTTTGAGCCATTGCTAGATTTTAAACAACTGAAAATCTGGGCTCAAGTGCGAGAACCTCTGCCTCCTCAGTCACCCAGACCACCCCAGACAGACTGTCAGGTCACAAAGGTCGCGGGAAATCTCGCCGCCAGCCGCGGGAACGTCTCGTCCCAAGAGCAAAGTTCAAGGTCGCTGCTCTGTACTTTCCAGTTAGCCAAAGACTCTGACACATA